CCAGTTTCCGATATAGGAGGCGTGGCAGTCGGAGCAGTTTATTTTGTAAACTGTACCTTGTCGTTCTTTGAGTTGTTCTTTGTCCTTTATGTTCGTTAGTACTTGTCGTAACGTTGTGATTGGTTTATGTGCGACATGTATGTTGTATGGTCGTAAGATACGCGATATCTCAGACGTACCTTTGATGTAAGGTATCGTTGCTGTTGTCACTCGAGTTGTTCGTTCTGTTGTCTGTTAGGTTTGTAAGTGTTGCGTTTGATAAAGTCAGAGTTATAGTTGTTTTGTCAAAAACACGTTTGAGATAGTTGTTTTCGTTTCGTAGAGCGTCCGGTGAATCACATATGATTTGTGCACGTCTTGTTAATGTTCTGATTGTGGTGGCTTTGTGTGATGTAGGGTTGTAAGATGATTGGTTTAGTAGTCGGTAAAAAATCCTTTATCAAAACTGTAAGTTGTTGGGTTAAAATACTGTTTTATCAACTGCTAATTTTCAGGCAATACATACAAGTTTGCGGTATGAAACCATCTTTATCAAACATGACGGTGAATATATAAATTTGCTAAGGATTACATATTGACAGTGACAGAACGACATTGTTACGCTAATATTTATAATCACCTTTGTTTTGTAAAATATTTCGTATCAAGTATTAGGAAGCATTTAGGTTTTGGCAAATAGTAAAACTTTTACAGTTGACAAACAGTGCTATTATATGACCTACATTTGATAAAAACTGTTGTTACATTTTATGGTAAGTTTATATCAGTCGCTTGAAAGTCAAGATAAATAATAGGACAAACAGTGCAACAATGTCTACCTGCTTGTCACTACTTATATCAACCATCGGGAAACCCTCTAATTAATACTTAATGTTTCATTAAATAACTGTAATGAAAACATGTTTGATGCTCATTGAATAAATGATTCATTCATTTTGTCGATATCAATCTTATTTTTGACAACATATATTATTAGTTCAATTTTTGCCAATTTCTCACCTCTATTCAATATTTTATTCACTGTTAAAACTTGGTTAGAAAGCATTAATTACAGGTAGATTATGTTTTGTTTTTAGGTTTGCTTCTTTAAATACTTTAGTTGGGTGTTACATCCTGACCAAATTGGAATCATGCTAACTCTGCCTATATATATGCCAAGGCAGAATGAAAGGTCTTTCTTTTAGCATCAACCTGTATGAGTAAATAAAATTCTTCTAATTTCCTTGTTCTGCATGTTATTGTACATCTACAGTTTTCCCAAAAAATGAAGACTGGTGTCTTTGGCGCTTGATCTTGGTATGCTTTCATATTTTGGCAACTCAGTTAATGTACATTGTTCTATATCAAAATGGAGACTTTTTTATATGAGTTGCTAATTTTCCAGTGTTCAGAAAAATCATCAATATCCCAAGCCAGAGTATTTGAAAATTTCTAATGGCCATGGTCTATGGAATAGCAGAATATATTCATTTATATTCGGAATATATTCAGCTGTTCTTTTATGGATATATATTCATCTAAGAGCATTAACTTATACAAAGGAATTTATATTCCTAAGCTACTTTAGTTCTTAAACTGTCAGTTGTAAGAGCTATAGCAAAATGCTTTTTGTTTTATCTTAATAGCCTTGTGAATAGTGAAAAGATAGAACTGTGGTAAACACAACTTTTGAGTTTCATGTGTTTAGATGGAGGTAGAGACTATATGAACTTATCTTAGCATGCATTACTACAATAGAAATAACAACACAAGTTTAAAAGCTATCTTTTTTTCACCTGTTATAATTTCCAATAGTATTTTGTGTTGTTTTCACCACAAGGATACCTGTTGATGGTCGCAACGATTTCTTCTGTTTTATGCTATTGCTTACAGGATGTGTCTTAGAATCATCATCAAAAGAGGATTTTTCTAGTGAACATTGTGCAGTATTTTGTATTGTATAAACTCTTTTCACTTCAAGAGACGACGAAAGAACTAAATGATGTTTTGTTTTTGCACTTGCTTATGAGAAAATCAAAACGTTTGTGAGAACTCTAAATCAAGTAAGACCTTTCACCCTCACACTTAGGCATGCACTGATCTCTCTCTTAAATTCTCCCAAAGGTCTGTCGGGTTGGTAGAGGCCTCTTCAAACACAGTTTAACATCCTTCTTTTTCTTAAATAGCATAGAATTAGTATTTATTCCTTATATTCAACGTGATCAGTGAAACATGATCTTACTGCTTCACATTCCACACTAATAGTGTTTTTGTTAAGGCGATTTTATTTTGCTTTTTAAGAATTTTGATATTAAATTTTGGCTTTTTTACATGAAAAAATCCCAAGTATATATAAGTATTGACTAATAATTACCTTTATTTTTATGATTGTAAATTTAATAATTTGTCTCTTTGTTATCTGTCACTTTGTATATATTGAATGCTTATGTTTGACAATCTATGCCAATTGTCAAATGATAACTTTTCTTATTCTATATCATCTATACTGCATTAAGCCTCTTTAACTCAGGACTTATAATGCTGTTGATATAAAGCTAAAGAAGAAGGGTCCATGAATGAATACCAAAATTTGTGTTACTGCACGTGTGGAAATTTGTGATATTTTTAAGTAACCTTAACACGCTTGGATTTTACCTACCACAAATTCAAAATACATTTGGAAAATTATTAACAAGACATAAATTTATTCTGCTTGACGATCATATCGACTTAATAGTTCAATAGTTTTTCTTATTAAGAATTTTTCAACTTGTTTTATTGAGGATGCTTTTCTAAAATTACACGTTGAATCAAACTACATTTTGAAAGGTTTATGCCTGCTATGACAGAGTATATAAATCTGTTTGTCCCCATTTGACGTGTGATTGACACAAAACTTTTAGTTAAAATATACTTTAAACGTTAAATAATATAAATTTCTACTAACCTACTATGTAGTTAGCAAAGGTCACAAAATGTACCAAAAACTAATGGAATATATTCTTTTTATTTTGAGAGAAAACGAATTGAAACATATTTTTTACAGAGCTGCTTGTTACGTGCGTGGTCCCGAAAGAATAACTATTAATTTGGTTCTATTTCCACACGCAACAAAGATAGTGGAACCAGCTATATTTCTCAAACAATTTATTAATCAACGCGTAAATATTAAAGTAGATAAGGTCTTAATAATAATATCAATAAGTATGAGTAAACTTATCTCCTCTGTCTGAGTACAACGGGCGAGTCTTTATTCTGAGCGTTCGTGAGTCCAACAATGACTCACAATAGTTTTCCAATAGATTAAAGCACAGAAGCCAAAAGATAGTTATGGCACAGAAGCCAAGATAGTTTTCTGGTAGATTGTAGCTTGTCAACTACTTCGGTAGGCTATGCCTCCTAAGTTTGTTTCCTCGTAGCTTGTGCTCGTAGGTTGTACTCAGTGGTCTAAACTACTGATATATATATAATATCTAATGAGAAGTATTGTGGTTTTGTGACCTACATCCCATACGCAATACAGTATGTTACAGCAAGATATAGTTAACCACAATAACAACAAATGCGGTTGGCGGTTCTAAAATGTTTACGCATCTAAGCAGTTTAGCGCATGCAAGCAAGCTTCTAGATAATGTTCTAATTAATTATATATGAAATTATAATATGATATAACATGATATTACATGATAGTAGTTGCTATCATGTAACACTGTTGTTCATCTATGTCCTAAATTATTTGCTTTGCTAAATATTTACTAAATCTTTAACAAGATATTGCTTTTTTAGTACGAGTTTTGAAACAATGTCGCAGGACAAAGAAAATCAGTCAAACTCAAAGAAAGTAACAAGAGAATCTCCGAATGAAAACGTAAGTTAGCCAAATTCTCTAAATTTCTCCTTTTGACTTCAAAACTGATATACAAGTATCTAAAACTCCAGATTTTTGTATTTCTTAACCATATTGAATTTTGAAATATCTCCAATTTTGTGGTGGAAAAAGAATCTAATGATATAAGCTTATCAGTGTAAAAGCAAGGTTGGACAATGTAGACCTAAAATGCCGCTCAAACCATTGATGCTAATAATAGATCAGATATCTTCCAAACTAAACAAAAATTTAATTAATTGTATTTTAAAAACTAACACTCCAACACTTGCAAAATTGTAAAATAGTATCTGCAGACATTACAGACCTCAGTATAGGTATTATACAGCATGCTCACTCGTCGGAACATTTGAAAGTTTTGTCCTTTCAGCATGTTGTGTTTTCACGTGATACATCAGTGAAAACACAAACTGTAACAGCCGTTTCTTACGTCACTTGGCTCAAGACAAAGACAAAACATAAATTTCCTTCACTTTGGAAACTCTATAGTTGTCCTTATTCAAACTAAAGCTTGATTTGTTATATCCTCAAATAACAAATTTTAATTTGATATTTTGAGCTTTTTCTTTGTGTTATAAATTACGAACATTCTGAACATTTTGAGCTTTTCTTTGTAAAAGCTCATAGAAATTATATCTGAAACTTTTATCGTATTTGTAGATACACGTTCTAAGAAAGTCACGACCAAGGCAATATTCATCATTCGAGTTTACGTTAATGATCCCCTCAAAACGCGTTAGTTTATCTACATAGATTAAAAATTCTCATTTCATATTAAAATTTAATCAAAATAGTGGTTCATGGTCTTAAAATTGATAAAGTATTTTACCATTGCCAATCAATTGTCGTACATAGCCAAAGAAAAACAAGATCTTGTGTTACAACATGTTGTAAAACATATATATTTATAAAATCAAGTTTCAATTAATGCGTTAGAGTCAATGAAATTAAATAAACATAAACCTTAGTAAATTTAAAAAAGACCATTAGCTACAACATTACAACATATTCTTAGATACAGAGGCATGACATTCACAAATGATTATGCAAATTATTGAAATATATTCTTATGTCTGTTTTGTAACGTAAACTTTAAGGTAAAATATCATGTTTTTTTAATTTTTCTAAAGGTTGTTTGACAGGATACTGCAGTTGGTAAAAGCTGTAGCATACATGCTCTCTGTCATTATTAGTTTGTAGGTTCTTTTGTAATTTTAAGACGATTTTTGGTGAAGTTAAATCAATGGAACCTAATAAGGGTTGTATAATATTTTTATTTGCTTGATTTTTATCTTGTTTATATATACCAAATTTTTTGTACAGATGGAATCGTCAGGAATAAGAAATCTGTCTTACATTCAGCAAATAATTAACGTGGTGCAAAAGGAACTTGCTCAGTTTTTCATTAAACAATGGAACTCTCGTTACAAATCAACTTATGGAGAATGGGATGATACACACAACAGTGGTAACAAATTTTACACTTTTGAATCAGGAATAAAGTTAGACCAAAAAACTCGACAAAAATATCAAGATGGAGATACCAGTAAGTGGGACTGTACGATATTATTTGATGCAATAATTTTTTCAAATTCAATTGGAAAGCACCTTGACACAAAAACAAAGGATGCTGTTCAAGCACTTCGTTGTGAAAGAAATAAGTACGCACATTGGTATGAAAGGGAATGCTCAGATGATGATTTTGATGATATAGTCAACATCATTGAAAAATCATTTCAAGATTTGAAATTTTCTCTCGATGAAATCAATAAAATAAAAAATCATCGAAACTGTTTTAATTCGTTCCAAGTTCTTCCTTCAAAATCTAATCATTTTTTTGTTGAACGCACTGAATTACGAGATAAAATTATAAAAGATCTTGAAAAATTAAGCAATGATAACAATGATAAACTGACATATTTTTACATCACTGGTAATCCTGGCAGTGGTAAATCGCAACTTGCAAGACAGGTTTGTGAAAAAATATCGTGTGATTGGAACAATAGAACTTCGTTTGTAATGACTCTCGATGGAAAAAATGAGGAATCTCTTTTAAAAACTTACTGTGAACTTGGATACCGTTTAAACTGTGACAAGGATATGATTAAAAAATTTGAAGATGAAAATTGTTCCATCGCAGACAAAGTGAAGAATTTGCGATCGTTAGTATCCAGACGATTAAAATTCTGGCAAAATTGGTTGATCATTGTAGACAACGTGGCACAGCTTAGCAAAATTTCTTCATTACTCCCCCAAGTTGGTGATCCCATGTGGATAAATGGACAAATCTTAGTAACTATCCAGAACACAGATGCCGTACCTCAAGACGATGAGTTTAACAAACATATTTCTATCAGAAGTGGAATGAATGATAAAGAATGTTGTCAACTGTTGGAATATTACACTAAAGATGATAATACTGATGATCAATTGTTGAATGAAGTATCCCACGCATTAGATCGTCAACCGCTGGCTTTGGCTGCCGCTGGTTGTTACGTCAGTCGTGTAAACAAAGCAAACTGCTCATTTACTTGGAAAGAATATTTAAAGAAAATATCTTCAGAAGAAGAAGAAAACATGGACGTCACTTTTGTTAAATTTAACTCGGTATATCCTAGAAGTATGTTACAAGCTTCACTTTTAGCTGTCAGACAAAATGCTGAAGAATCCTCAATATCGGCAATTGTTATTAACTTTTTTTCCGTGATATCGTTTTATCCTATACCACGAGACATTATTGTGTTTTATGTTCAAAAAATAGATCCCAAACACTCAAAGGAAGATATATGTCTTTGTTTAAAGGACTGCTCATTGTTCTTGCATTCAGAAAATAATGACATTAGTCTACATCGCATTGTTCACAAAGCAATTATTGTTTATCAATCTGAACATTCAAATGAAGAACATGAAATGGAAAGTAACGTTGATCAAATATCTAAAGCACTTTACATGTTTAAAGAGAGAGACGACGAAATAAAATTATGGCCACATCTTGAAAAAATTGTTCATTTATTAAAGACCAACAAGAGAAAACTCAACATGAACACTTTACAAGTTTTCAATATTTTGTTGACAGATTAAGACATTTTGGAAAATACGATCTTGCTCTTGAACTATTGGATAAATTTAAATCAGAATATAATCTGAGAATCATATTTAACAAAGCTTGGTATTTTACTGAGCTTGTATTTTACACGATTTAACGGGGAATATGGCAAAGCTACAAATTATCACGAAAAAGCTCTGGAAATCGAAAACAATTGTTAGGTCCAAATCATGTTGATGTCGCTGTCTTTAAACAATCTTGGTTTGGTGTTACATAAAACTGGAAACTACGACAAAGCTATAGAATTTCATGAAAAAGCTCTGGAAATTCGAAAACAATCGTTAGGTCCAAATCATGTTGATGTCGCTACGTCTTTAAACAATCTTGGTTTGGTGTTACATAAACTGGAAACTACGACAAAGCTATAGAGTTTTACGAAAAGCTCTGGAAATTAAAAAACAATCGTTAGGTCCAAATCATGTTGATGTCGCCTTGTCTTTAAACAATCTTGGTAATGTGTATAATGATACTGGAAACTACGACAAAGCTATAGAATTTCATGAAAAATCTCTGGAAATAAAAAAACAATCGTTAGGTCCAAATCATGTTGATGTTGCTGGGTCTTTAAACAATCTTGGTAATGTGTATAATGGTACTGGAAACAACAACAAAGCTATAGAGTTTCATGAAAAAGCTCTGGAAATTGAAAAACAATCGTTAGGTCCAAATCATGTTCATGTTGCTAGGTCTTTAAACAATCTTGGTAATGTGTTTTATGAAACTGGAAACTACGACAAAGCTATAGAGTTTTACAAAAAAGCTCTGGAAATTCAAAAAAAATCGTTAGGTCCAAATCATGTTGATGTTGCTGGGTCTTTAAACAATCTTGGTTTGGTGTTACATAAAACTGGAAACAACAACAAAGCTATGAAATTTCATGAAAAAGCTCTGGAAATTCGAAAACAATTGTTAGGTCCAAATCATGTTGATGTTGCTGTGTCTTTAAACAATCTTGGTGCTGTGTATTATGATACTGGAAACTACGACAAAGCTATAGAGAATTACCAAAAAGCTCTGGAAATCAAAAAACAATCGTTAGGTCCATATCATGTTGATGTTGCTAGGTTTTTAAACAATCTTGGTGATGTGTATAGTGATACTGGAACAATTTCCATTGTAAAGCTATAGATTTTTACGAAAAGCTCAAAAAAATTCAAAAACAATCAAGTAGGTCCAAATCATAGGAATAAAACGTTTGCAGTTTGCATTTTGTGAGGTAAAATGAACCTAAAGATGTAATGGTCCTTGTCTATTTATAGTTTCACTTATATCTAGTCAATAAACTTACTCTACAGCCGGGAATCATACTAAGTAGAACTTAGAACTGCCCATGCCCTGAATCTGACATTCTTCTTTAGACTTTATTTCTAAAGTAATTTGTTTTTATGTTATAACCAAGTAGTAATTTTTATTGTATGATTTAAAAACATACTAAAGTATATTGGGATGACAGAATTTTGTTAAATAAATACTATCCTGTTAGTTGTGCATATTCTTTGATACATTCAGTAATTTTTTACCAAGCTCCATAAGCCTATGACCAAATTCCAGGTTCCTATAGTTTCCAAGGGTTACACCTTTCATACCATACATACCACCCCACCATGCTGCAGCCAATATTCCTGTACTGTCACTATCCCCGCCATGAAACATTGAACAAGAGCACAATTGAAACCAGGAATCTTTTGCCATCATCAAAGCATCGTAAGCAATCATTGGTGCATCATGAGCACTGGATCCACCCCAACCTGAATAACTGACAGATTTATAAAAAGCATCATGTTCAGGTATGTTATATTTCACTGGAAACTTTGGTTCAAAAGTTCCATTCATTAATCCCCGTAGTTCAAGATATGACTCCCAACTATTTTTAAAGTAGCCCCAAGATTTCTTGTTTTCTTCTACATCACGACCAACCTTCTCAATGTATTCCCAAACTTTGGGTAAAATACTTAAAAGTCCTGCTCCCCATTTTTTTGAAGCCATCTTCTGTATAGCATATGCTGTAAATAAAGCTGCAGTAACAGCCCCAAGATAACCTATAATTAAAATCAATATCTTTAAAGATTGCTAATTTTAGGTCACTTACATTATGATGACCTATTTACATAATAGCAGCATTTTGATATTGATCATGGACTCAATGGCTAAAGTAATGAAGATATTAAAGCAAAACAGCAATGGCAATTCATACAGTTTTTGGAAGACAGAAATTTGGAAATGTGGAAAAGCGATAAAAGGGATGGATCAAAGATATGGTCATTTAAAGTGAGCAATGTTAGAAGGATGGAGGCATTTGAGATGTGGTTCTAGAAAATGATGGATTGCATAGACTTATGCAAACCTAAGGTCAACCTTCTTTTATTTCATTTATAAATTGATATTAGATAAAAGGATATGAAACATTCATGGTAATGGCTTTATCAAGTAAGTAATCAAGAAGAAGAGTTGAAGATAAAACATCTAAGAAAAGCAAAAGGATTGAAAGCTAAATCACTATAAAGGTTTGTTAAAATGAAAGAAATGCAGATAACAGGAAACCTAGCAAACTTTATACAAAGCAACACTTGTTCATAGACAAAACACAAGACATTAGTGACTTGATAATTGAGACATGATCTGAAATCGTTGTTTTATTATGAAAGGTGAATACCTGTGGGTGATTATGAGTCATCCTTCCACTTTCAACAGCAATTTCATTAACATTTCAATTTGATCTTCACAAGGAAACATCAAACCTATACACATGGATCTCATAGCTGCACCACATCCGCCACCTCGTTCATTAAATGGTATAATGTAACCTTTTTCCTCAAGAGGCAAAATATGAAACATGCCTTTTGTTGTGGTCGACCAGGAGCTCTTTCCCACATATCCTCAGCACATGTCTTCTTGTACTTTGTAGCCATAATGCTCAATAACTCTTCCGTTGTTGTCCATTCAGAAACCAACGCTTCTGCTGTAGCAATGTGTAGTACAGTGTCGTCACTAACCCTCCATCCTTTAATGTCAATTTTATCAAGTCCTCCGAGTTTTTCTAGTTCTTCATGAATTTGAGTACCACTGTAACAGAATTCCCACAAACATTTTATAACCTAGAGCATCCCTAACTCCACTGAGAACCATAACTGCTTCTGTATTTTCGGATAATTGGACCGTATTTTCAAGAGCCATTTTAATATGTTTACTTCACTGTAGTTCAATGAATTTTTTGAAACACGGGGAAAGATATTAAGTTTATATATTACACTTTTTTTTAGTAAATAAATAAAAAAACATATTTCTTATTTTTATAAAAAAAATAAGAATTTCTCAATTTTTTCATCATATTTCTTTTTTTCTTTTTTTAAAAAAATTCAAATTTCTTACCCTTTTTATCACTCTTTTAATGTAAAATCTTCAATAAAAGATTTATTTTCATTTGAATGTTTTGCTGTCTAATTGATAATGGCAGAATCTTCAAATCAAAGTATTACTTTTATATTTGAGCGTGGTGAAGATTTTGATGAAGAAGAAGATTTAAGTCAAATTATTATGAAATCAGAGTATATATCTAATTTCATTCATAATGGTGGAATGATTATTTTTAATAAAGACAGTGAAGATGGAAGAAAATTTAATTCAAATTATGTGATGAAGGGATGATAATCAGCAAAAAAGATAGTATTGACATATTTATAGAAAAAATGGATGAATATTTTTATTGTCATGATGAAAAAAAATAATATACATTTTACACAATTGGATTTAATTAAAGTATTTTATAAAAGTATTATTGAAAAAATTTTAATAGTAACTATATGATATATATATGCATGATATCATTTCTTGCTGGTAATAATGCCAGGTTGCTGCAGAAGAATTATTGTATTAATTGCTGAAATTTCAGCAAAAGTGTTGCTGTCTTCAAATGCAATTTTAATATGGATAAAGTATTATATATATCACCGCAATCATCATGCGACAACAATCGCTTCAGTTTACCAGATGATGTAGAAAATATATTTAAGAAGACGAAGTCTGATTGACATTTGAGTGTTAGATGTTTAGTATCATTTCTTGCTGGTGATAATGGCGGATTGGCGAAGCAGAACTATAGTATTTTTCTTAACTGATGATGATGCTTTTGATATTTCGAATAAAGTGTTTCTATCTTCAGATGTTATTTTGAGTTGGAAAAAGCAGTGCAGGGTTTTTGATGTTATTGATGAATGTCAAGAAGATAATTTAAGGATGGTTTTTGATGCAACTGAAAAGAAATATATCTTGGAACAAAAATCACTTATTGAAGCATTTATTAAAGTATTAAAAAAATATTTGGATGAAAATGATGATAATCATCAACATTTTGAACAAATGAAAGTACTTATGAACACTAATGTTGAAAAAATAATTTTCTATGTAGCTGAATAGTTATATATATATATAACTTACCCTCCCATGTAAAAACAGATTGATGGAAAAATGTCTCGGATACAGAAGTATCAATGTATGTTTACAAATTGTATACACTCTAAAAAAATTGTTCTTTTTATTTTAAATGTTGTGAAAGATTTTATCCATGTCATCATTGTCATAATAAAGATCATTTTTGCAATAAAAAAGTCAATCCAAAAGATATTTCCTGGATAATGTGTAATTATTGTGGTTTTGAGCAAGGAATTCAACAATATTGTATCAAGTGTAAGAAAAAGTTGGCTGATTATTTTTGTGACAAATGTAAGGTTTACGATGATTATTCGAAAGATCCTTATCATTGTGTAAAATGGTGTTTGTAGAGTTAAATTACATAGATCATTTCATTGTGATGCTTGTGGATCGTGTTTCGAAAAGGAAAAGGAAAAATCAATATCATATATGCAAAACGAACATGTTCAATGTATGATATGTTTGGAAGATACATTAACTGGAATCGGAATGTTAAAATGTGGTCACAAAATACATTTTGATTGTTTGACACAATTATTATTACAAGGATTTTCTAACTGTCCGATATGTAGAACTGATTTATTAACACCAACAACCATTCCATCAATTAAGCGAGCATCTTTAAGAACCGTGTCTGGTACAACCTGATACTACCCTCAATAAAATAC